TGTTGTGTCGTTGTGGTGTTGGTGTGTGTGTGTGTGTGTGTGTGTGTGTGTGTGTGTGTGTGTGTGTGTGTGTGTGTGTGTGTGTGTGTGTGTGTGTGTGTGTGTGTGTGTGTGTGTGTGTGTGTGTGTGTGTGTGTGTGTGTGTGTGTGTGTGTGTGTGTGTGTGTGTGTGTGTGTGTGTGTGTTACTTCTTCTACATCAGCCCTTGTCTCATCTTATACGATCTGGCAATCATTTCCTATTATTCACGAGTGTGCGTGCGTACATGCGTGCGTGTGTGTGTTTTGCGGTTGCCCCCTCCACCCAGGCCTGTTGCCGTGGCGAGTGGGCACCGTGGCGACGGAGTCTGTGTGTGCGTGTGTTTACTTCGGAAGGAGTGATGTCACACACACACAAAGTCCCTTAAGGGCAATGTGAGATAGAGGTTAGACCTCCTGTCTCTGCCTCTCTGTCTCTGTCCTATTTTTACCTTTGCCTTTTTCAACTTATTACTCTACTGGTACATTTTACGACTTTCAGATCAATATGTTCATGTCATCAATACAAAACTATGCTGGATTGTCCAATTGTAAAGTTGCACCGTAGAGGATGTGTACCGTCAGATTATTAATGTTTGGTTTTTACTTAATTTTTGTTGTAACCGTCCATAGCTTTCACCTTTTCCTTACCCTGTCTAATCCCTTTTCTTTCTTGTTCTATCGCTCCATCCCTAACTTTCCTGTCCCTACAGTAACTCACAACACAACAGAAGCAGAGGATAAGAGGAAGCAAAGGCAACAAAATAAGGGGGATCGGAGAAAGGAGGGATGTTAAGTTTGACAGACAAGCAGGAAAAAGAGAAGGATCGGTCAAACTATTTAGAGTCTTAGTGAGACTTTAAAGAAGGCTCTTGGGGTGAATATGTTGGATTCTGTTGTCAGGCTTGTCATTGTGTGTATAGGAGGCCGTTATTAGGCTAAGGATTATGGAGGTTTTCATCTTTTTAAAGCTTATATTTTATGAATATTTATATGTCAAGGTGACAGGTCAGATAAGGGTCTATTTCTAGGGGTGAATTCATTCTAAAGATGTTGGCTTCTTGTCTGCATATTTCCCATGACTTGCACATAAAAAAGTTGACTTTTCAATCTTTTAACAAAACTTAAATGACTCTGTCAGATATAAACACACATTAGCACGATCTGTGAATCATGTAACAAATTGGAAATTATATTCTCCTCACTTTTTACTATCACTGCAAAAACAAAAATAAAGTGTCTTTTCTTTACATTTTCCAGCCACCAAGGAAATACTGGGTTTTTTTTAGCATTAAAAACATATGTATCAGCTCCACTTTAAAATAAACAGTCTTTTATGTGCTTAAAATATTAAAGCACTGCATTTGCTTTTTGCCATTTGGAAGCATGATGCGTAACCATGGTAATGCTTCACATTATAGCTGTTACTACAATCCAGTGACCTGAATAAAAATGAGAAAATGCTAAGGGAAGGATGATTCAAAGTGTCTGAAAACCTAAAGATGAATCAAAGGTGCTGCTGTGATCTAATATCTTGATATTAATATCCAGAAGTGGGTCACTTATGCAGAGCCACGCCTACCGAGCACAAACTGCTGTCCGGCATCACTGTATCCCCCGTGACCCTGTCAAACTGTGTGTTCGAGTGTGTGAATAATATATGTGTGTGAACCACAGAGAGAGACGGGGAGGAGAAATGTAGGGCACGGTGATGCTGAGCCTCAGAATATACACACACATCATCTGATATGTGTGGCGGAAACAAAATGCACACACCAAAAACTGGCTGCCATCTGCGCTGTCAAATATTATAATAACCCAAACACACATTCACGTACAGAAACACACCGAAGGCCAACGCACTGAGTGTAATTCAAAGGTGAGTCTCTGCAGCATTATCTGTGACCCAACTCTGCCTCCTAGTGGCACGTCAGAGACATTGCAGGAAGGAGACATATTCATGTATGATTGATTTGTTAGTTGCTAACTCTTAATAGTAGAAAGGTCTGAAAATGATTTTATGACAGTTGGGGGGAGTAAGTTCTCTATAATCTTAAGTAATGCATGCCTAAGTTAGGAGAAGAACCGCCCATTTTGGGTTTAATTTCGTAGTTTTGTAGTTTCAGTGGCAAACACAAAACATTCATCAAAGTTTTGTTGTTATTTGCCTAAAAATCTAAATCATTAGAACCTAACCTTAATGTGAACCCTTGAAAGACATATAATACACATCGAATAAATATTATGACATATATTTACAAACTAAGACAATTAAATACTGGAATTATGCATGGGAATGTCCCTGACCTGTGCGTGGAAGATGGAAAGGGACTTTGCCGTGTGTAGCGGGATGAGAACCCGGACCAGGAACTGCTTGTGTTCGGCCTTCAGAGGCAGGGCGAAGCCGTTTATGATGCTGCAGGAGGAAAAGGGACAGTTAAATACAGTATAAATACTTCCACTTTGTGGCATTTTAACTCTTTTGAAAATCATGTTTGCTTTCTTACTTAAGAAGGTTATGCTTTTGGTATGTTAACTTTATGGAAAGTAGTTAAATGGATATGTATTTACCAAAAAGCATTGCATTAAACTCCTTAAACTCTATATACTTCAATGAATGTATTAATGTACAGGCCTACAGGGCCAACTACAAAATGTCACTCAAAAAGAAATACATCAACCAAGAAGAGATTCAAAATGTCTACGAAGAAACTTAAAAAGACTATAAAGAGATACAAACAGACTCATGATGACTATGAAAAATTGCATGACGACCATAAAGAGACAACAAAGACACATGACGACCAAAAAGAGACAACAAAGACACCAAAGACAAACAATCACTACAGAAATAGGGGAAAAAGACTAAAACTATATAAAAGAGACACATTAATTAACTATAGAGTTGCTTCTACGTAGGAGCGTTGGCGGAACCTTTCTGCATATACTGTATGTGCCCAGGGGCTGACTGCCTCACGATCCTTTCATGTTCTGTGTGAAAATGTGTGTGTGTGTGTGTGTGTGTGTGTGTGTGTGTGTGTGTGTGTGTGTGTGTGTGTGTGTGTGTGTGTGTGTGTGTGTATGTGTGTGTGTGAGTGCGTGCGTGCGTGCGTGCGTGTGTGTGTGTGTGTTGGAGTCTATTCTTGTGCTGTGTCCATTTCCAAGTGACTGGACAAATGTGTGGTCTGTGGCCACCTCTGCACTGATTGTCATAGATGTAGTTTAGCCTGCGGGGGAAGGGGGGGGTAGGCGGGACTTATTCACCTGTCTGTCTGTCTGCCTTCGTTTTCTATTAGCATCTTTGTCTAAAAGAAGATTTCTTCAATAATATCTCCCTCCTGCTGTTCCTCTGATCTTTCCCTCCGCCTCCTCTTCTCTTCTTCCTCTCCGTCTCTCTCTCTCTCTCTCTTTTACTTCCTGTACAACGCATCCTCTCTCAGCCATCCCTCTCTCCCTCTCTCCGTGTGTGGGAGGAGCTATAAATACCTCTGTTACCACCAACATGAATACAAACCTCTCTCTCTCCTCTCCTGCTCTCCTCTTCTGACTCACTCATCCTCTCTCCATCCCTCCCCCCCAACCCTCCCTCCATTTTCTCACCTTGGATTCATCCTCTTCTCTACCTCCCCCTCTTTTCTCTACATTAACCCACATTCTGAAACTTCATTCATATTTCATCTCACTTTTTTGGTCAGGTGAAATGGTAGCCCAGATTTTGTATGAATTTAGTGTAATGTTAAGTATTAGCTCTTTCAGACAAATCCTTCCCATCACCCTGAATATTTTGAATCCAAAAATTATTTTAATTGTCTTTACTTTTTTCTATGCTAAACATCAATAACGATTATTTAAAGTCTTGTTAGTGTCACATAATGAAAGAGAAAGAAGGACTAGATTCCAGCACAGAATGCCCTTGAGAGAAATTTATATTTAGCACTGATTTGTTTGTTTGTTTCTGATTGATCAGCTTCCATCCTCTTATGTTAATTCTGTCTTAGTCAATCTCTCTGTCTAAACTTCTATCAACTTGTCTATTTATGTATGTCAATTTAAAACTAATTGCTAATATATCTGCGTTAAACTTGCTCTGAAGCAAGTCTACATTGTATATGGGACAGATTAATTCATATGTATGTGTGCATTTGCTTCCTTCCACAAAGGAATTAACAACCCTCTCCTGTTATGTGCGTTAGCATCACAGAGCCACTTCCCACTTCACACATCGCCAGCTAACTAGCCTGCTCTAAGGTAGTTTAAAATTTTACCCAGCATCAAAGTAAAAAGCTATCTTGTTATCAGAGTTAAGAGTGGAGAATACCACAGTTAAAGCTGGAGAATATACAGTATATGTTTCCCAGCTCAATATGAAAGAGAGTCTTTGGGGGATTTCGTGTTCTCTGCCATGTTTTTCCCTTTCTAATCACTGGAAGATAGGCCTTACCAATCTCTTACAATGTTAGTTCATATCAAGAGACACGCCTGTCTTGTAATCACATGGATAACCTGTGAAAACGTTCCTCAGATAAAGACACACAACTGAGATGAGAAAATAGATGTTATGGTCATGCTAACGTAGCTACCTTTGCTAGCTTCTCTTTAATGCTGAGTAATCATCCAAGCTCAGGAAAACTAGTGCAGTCTGCAGCATATCTGCTTTGATAGTGTTCAATAATAAAAGAATGTGACCTTGAAAGTGAAGCAGAGACAGAAAGAGAAGGTATCCTCTCATGTATTTATCTCAACAAGGCCACATGCTACGTACCAACCCAGTCTCACGGCATTTTGTGTGATAGTCACGAAATACATTTAATCTATTGATTCGTGTTCACCAACACGATTTCCCCATTTTCTTTGTGTCACACAGAACGATTTTAAAAGGAATGTATTTCTATTGGTAGTATGTTTCGTGCCTGCAACACGTCTTTTTGTCCGGTCGGGTCGTGGAAGACCGGAAGCTGTGTGGTTCATATAAACATTTTCTTACTCAATATCAAGCCACGATTATTGTTTTTATTTTGAATCGTATAATGTCTGACTTTTTGTTGCCATCCGCGAGGAAAATAAATGGGGCTCAGGGCCTCAGAATACTGAAATCTGTATTTTTTTAATATTTTCCTTCTAATTTGTTATTATTTACATAGTTATTAAAATCGTTCTGTGTGACACGAAAAAAATGGGGAAGTCGTGTTGGTGAACACGAATCAATAGATTACATTTCGTGACTATAACACGAAATGCCGTGAGACTGGGTTGCACGTACCTAGCCAGCTAAATACTGTGGCTATGTTGTGATGCTAAAGACCTTTTGCTAAGCTAGCCATGCAAAGACTTTAGTTTAGTAACGCACAGACATGGGTTGTTTCTTTTTTCATTATTCGGCATACAGAGGGGATGAGCAAAACAAACGTTATAGTATCACAGATTTTGTTTGTATTCATTCTCCATATTCTCCCTTCCATTTCTTTGTCTTTATTACTGTGTCTCCCATCGATTTGCTTACGAGCACAGGCAGAGAGTGGGACATTGTTGTTTATTAGCCCCTTTCTCTCTCATTTCTATCTTTCTCATATTTCTGTTACTGGCTCTAGAGACAAAGCAATAAACCACACAAACCTCTGAGTCAGTTCCATTTATGTATTTAACCTCCCTTCCTTCCTGCCACCCCCCAGCTTTACTAATTCCCCCCCTGCCTTACAACTAATTTCTCACTCTGTCAAGCTCTAAACACACAGTTGTTTTTACCTGATAAGAAAGAAGCAACTAAGAAAATAAATGCTTATTGTTTATTGTGTTGAGCTGTTGCATTGTCGCTATTTTTCGTGGTTGCTCAATTCACTGAGTTTCCAGCTGTCTCCTGAATAGGAGCAGCTGGCCAAGTAGAGTTTGTGTGTAAGAGTGTGTGTGTTTGTTCACACTCAAATCAAAATGCATTCATTAAGCAATGATATACTACAGAGTATACTTTCCTCCATAGCAGCAGCTCTAAAATGTGTGTGTGTGATTATGGTTACGAACCTGCCGAGGATTTCTAGAAGCTCCGCGACTCCGTTGAAGTGCTCAGTTTCATATATGAACCTAAAAAACAAAACACACATGTCTTGTAATTATGCATCAGTAGATCTAGGAACCATTGTAGGTCAGCAAATGTAAAAGCAACTAAAAGAAGGATTGCAAAATACTGCATGTAGCATGTTTTGCTTCTTCAAAAAATGAACCGTCTTCTCTGTGTTTGTTCTTATGCACCATTGACTTCATATCGTCCAGACTTTAATTACGAGCAGCTGTGTGGGAAAACTGTTAACGTCGGCCTCTTAGGTGTAGTTCTGAGTCAGCAAAAGAACTACAGAAGCCATCATCACTCGCGGCTACATATAAAAAATCCAATATAATTACTAGGATTTATTCACCTAATTAAAAAGGAGATTTACTTGTGTCTGGTTTCACTACAAAAGTATAGCACATTTCGTTTTGTAAGACAAGCAAAGAGGGTAACCAAACCATGTGTGAGGTTTTCCCTTATTTAGGATTGTGAAACACTTTAAAATGACTTGCTATAAAATCATGACGCACCAAGCTAAAACGATGCATTACAGTGGTTATAAACGCAGCGTTTCCCCCTGCTGATGGTCTTTGTTGACTAACGTTTGATTTATTGATGTTAAAGGGGCTATAAATAGCACCGTTACGTCCTGTGCATTGGATTGATGCTACGCGGCCTATACCTGAGGAAGATGTTGTTGATCTGTTTGCGGATGTACGCTCGGAGTCCCAGTAATTTTCCATAGACACGGTGCAGGATGGTCTTTAGGTACTCCCTCTCCCTGGGGTCCTCGCTGTCAAACAGCTCCAGCAGCTGCACACAGAGGAGATAATTACAAATACATTACAACCTTCTCCCTTCTACATCCAAATTGTGGGAACATGGTGGTATTTTTACCCACCAAAATGAATATTACAAAGTGTTTTTTACTCCATTGCTAAAACAGAATTAAAGAAAAAAAGATTACACGACAAGAACTTTGGAATCTCTTTGTCAATGTTTGATACATACCCCAACTGAGATAACTAAATTTGAGAGCGCTCCAGCAGGGATATAAGTAGGCTCTGCGTGGCTGCCGTTTCAAAGATGGGCTTAATTTATTTATACCTCTCCATTTATCAAGATTTTAGAAACATCCCAGAGATTTGGATTCGACAAACTGCGAGGACAGGAGAGGATTACCTGCAGGACAAACTTCTGGTCGACGTAGCGCTTGGCCATGGAGGGCTGGAAGTCCGGGCTCTCCAGGAAACGCAGAAAGAACTCGTACACCAGCTAATGGAGGCACAAACAGCAAGAGATAAGACGTCAACTATTGTCTGCGTTTGCCTCCTGAAGGAATAGTTTGACATTTGGTGAATTATTCATTTTCTTGACGAGAGTTGGAAGAGAAGATAACAACACTCATGTCTGTAGAGAGTGGTGTCAATCTCCTCATCTCACTTTTGGCAAGAAAGCATATAAATGTTGCTCTAGGTAACATGATGACTGCTCAAGTTTATACCAAAAGATCCCAACTATGCAGGAAAAGAAAGAAGACTTTGCTTCATGACGCATTTTGGACTTCACACTTTTGATTCATCTCGTCCTGAAGGAGGAGAAGTGACTGTACACCACACCCAAATGTCATCTGGGCAAGGGAATTGAGAAAATGTGAATTTCTTCTTAGCGAGAGCTTCATTTTGTAAGTCCCGCTGATAAAACAGCTACATTTGGGCATAAGGATGTTGCATTGAACAGCAGATTTAACTGAACTGAAGGACCGCAATGTTCAGGAAGGGCTGAATGTGGCATTAAAAGCAACACCTGGGAGATGTGTGCTTTAAGGCATTGTCCACAATCGCAAATACAGTATGTATATATAGTAGGGCCTATTTTTCAAGTAGTTACTGACACTGCATTGTGTTTCACTTTGTTTCTTTTACCTCTTCAGGAGAAAACGCATGAAAGCATGTCAATTATTCTACCACAACATGAACAATGTACCTGCAGATGCGGCCAGGAGGCTTCGAGTGTTGGTTCATCTTCCTCAGGGTCAAACTCTGGGTTCTCGCTGGGCGGGAGGGTCCGGAAGATATTTACTGAGATCTGGAAAAAGAAAAAGAGGTAGATAGGCAGATAAGAAAGAGCCAAATGAACTATAGCACATTCCTGTTAATGTGAGAAAATGGTGTTTCTATCAATTAGATGTAATGTCATGACTTCAGTTGACCGTGTTTGATGCTGTTCTGTGTTTGAGAGGAACTGTTTAGCGTTGCAACCCGGCTGCCAGCAGAGTCATGATTAATTCAACAAATGCATATCCATTGGCCATTTAGTGCATAAACTATATTGCAAAAAGCAAATGCCCCAATTCAGCATTATATACATATGCTTACATTAAAATTTTGTAAGAAAAAACTGCAGGAAAATATAGGCTCATTTCACATGATGTACATCTAGCTTGGATTTAAAAAAGTTCATTAGCATACACTTCTGAGGGATAACGACAATAAGAGTGAAATTCTACAATATGTCCATCATCTCTAACTTTTTCTCAAACCTTCATCCTGTATGGCATTTATTCTGTTGCACTGCCTTGGGCTCTAACCTATGCACTTATTAGCATCTTCTTTTAAGGTTCCTTCCTTGTGGCCGCACATTAAAGCTTTTCCCTCTTTCCTTTCATCCCATCCTCTGTCCTATCAGCATTTTCACATCCTCTGGGTATAGTGACTCCATAGCATAAGCTCTATCTTCTGCCCGCTTCACCTTCTCTCCTCAATCCCTTTTTCCCTTTCCTCCTTTCTATATCCTCTGGGACTTCCGTTGGTGTGCACACATTTTCCTCCACTCTATCGTTCCTGTCCATCCCTCCCTCTCTCAACATCTGTGCAGCCTATTGCTGCTTAGCACCCTTTGCAAATTATCTCTCCTCACTATCCTTTTATTAAAGCCTCAGCTGGATATCACACTGTCTCTCTTTTCTAGATGTCTGGGTGATGAGGATTGAAGGAACACTGTTTGCCCTTCTGAGTGCTCAAATGTTCTTCCTTTCATCTCTCCATCTGACAGTCCATCATGTCCACCCCTCTCCCCCTGCCATGGCCGGTTCTATGGGGGTGCTTTAACACTGTGCTTGGACCCCTCTGAGCCCCCCCTCCAAAAGAATAAATCTATGATAATGCAATTTCCGATAGTGTTGCAGCCAATACTGTGCTGTAATCTGGGCCTAAGATAAGTAACTAAAACAAATTCTGTTACTAAAACAAATACCGACAAATATGAAAAATAAAAATAAAAACTATGTTTGGCTCATAAATAATGTATGTAATACCTCAACTGCATTTAGGTTAATGGTAAAGTAAGTAACTCAACTAAAATTGTAACTAAGTCATTGACACAAGAATGTTATATTATATTTTTTGTGCACTTTGATTGAACTGAAAAAGTTTAAATCTTGAACAATGTCTTTGTCTCCCTTGTCCAGCATTAAATGTGTCCCTCTCATTCATGAACTGGCCCCAGCTCGGTCCCCCCAGTTCAATTGGTGTAGAGTCGCCATTGCCTCCTACCATCTTTATGGCCTCGGGGTACAGAGGCTCTATGAGAACTCCTCTGCTCGTGGCCACGCTCTCCACCAGCTCGTTGAGCGCCGCACGTTTGATCTCCTTCCCCTTCAGGTCGGCCACGCAGTCCAGGAAATCAAACAGCACGCAGCACTGCTGCAGCTTCTTACAGAACAGGTCATGTAACTCTGCCACCGGGGCGTCTGCAGGAGTGAAAAGGGAGAAAGAGAGAGAAGGAGACATGTCAGACAAATAAGTTCAATGACAAAAAGAAAAAAGTCTGAGCCAAATCCGATGGCGTTCCTGAAAGGCGCGTTGTGTTTGGTAGTGAATCGTTTGACAAAGTGGGAGTGTTGGAGTACACAGAGATGTATTCTCCAGGCTACATCGTCTCTCAAAGGTAATGAGGGAAAGAGCAGACTATTACTCTATAAACACATTTGTACACACCCACACACAGAGGCTTCCTCCATGCACACGCACACACACATGTCCACACACACTTCTTCCAGAGGGCTGTGTTGCATCTCAGTCCTATTACCTGTCGGATTCGTTCCACAGACCGGTTCGTCACAATGTAACGTCCTGCTGCCGGCCGTCTGATTAAAACCCTGTTCCTCCAAAAAACAACTCTTCTCACAGATGTAGGGAAAGTGGCTGATAGCTATGGATTCCTAAACTAGAGTTTAAATGTGATTCCACAGGCCCAAGGGAGGGAGAATCTTTAGCAGCTAAGCATTGTGAGGCAACATGCTAAATGTAAAGAAATGAAACATTAACATAGAGTTACAGGCTTTGACAGCAGCCAAATGGGAATGCTTGGTTCTTTTTCTATGAAACCAGATGATTGATGACTCAAGAGCTAAATATAGCAGTGAAATATTCAACGTTCAAATTCCTCTATAAGTGAGATGTATGTGAGGTTTGGTCTAGCAATAATATGCTGATCTATTTTGAGATAAATCATATGAAAAGACACATGAGGTATCAAAAACGTCTCGTCTTGGCAAAGGTTTTTTTCGAGCAAAGTGTTGCAGGTGTTTAGGCTTTATATATTCATGACACGATACATGACCCGTTTTTTATAACTGCTATACACGTAAGAGAGGGTGAGATGGACAGATATTATAGACTTCATTTTGAATAAACTGTATGTTTCCAGCTGTGACATTTGTATGCTACAAAACCTTGCCTTACATTATATTATAGTATAGTAATGTACAGTATTGTTTTGTATCGTTATATACAAACAATATTTTATTATTTGTATAAAAGGTTGAAGAATTTACGGTTATCATCTATAATTCAGTTAAGCAAAGGACTAATCGACTGGTCAGAAATGAATCAATAGATTGAAAATAAATAAGAAAAATGTGCATGAATTGACTAATGGAACAAATAATGTATTGATTAATCAATACAAAAATTGTCTTTAGTTGCAGCCTTAGAGAAAAAGGTCTCTGCAACCCCAAAAATGAAAGTGGTCGCAACTGCTCTGTGATGTTTTGACTACTTTTTAAGCTTTAGATAGATGTGGGACAAAGAAAAGCTCTGCCTTGGTGACTTAATTAGATTCTCTTTCAACTTAAAACACAATCTAATACAAAAGCATCCCTAACTACAAAATAATATAGAGGGAAATGACATTGACTTCTTCCTGACAGCGTCAACAGAAACTGGTCACTCCGTGTAGTCTTCAATTAATAATCTCCCTCTGTCAGAGAGAAACAATGCAGATTTAGGCTAGGAAGCAGTCTAGACTAACTGTGCAGTTGGAATGAGGACAATCCAAGACACACACACACACACACACACACACACACACACACACACACACACACACACACACACACACACACACACACACACTCACACAGCAGGAGCAGATTAGATTTAGCCCTTCTTAACCCCAAGGTGGGAAAAAGAGGAGGAGTGGGGGGGGGGCTGACTGGAGCTCCTCTAGCCCCAGACCCCCTCACCTCTTGTGGGCACACCATGACCATCTGCTCCCTCTGGCACAAAGCTGCACAACAATGGACTAGGACGGCCCTCTGCTCAGTGTCGTGGCACAAGACACACATTTCAGAGAACCAATCATATTTGACTTTTTGTCAATCAGATTATTCTGACTATGCCTTAAGTACTTGGATCTTTGTACAGGACTTATATTAGGTTTAAAACATACCAAAACTGATTTGCTGTTTGATCAAGTCTCAGGTGTGTGATATGGAAACACCCACAACTAGTCAATGCAGTATTGAGATCCTTATGATCATGGTCTCACTAAATGGCAAATATGAATAACCCGCCATTCTTTCACACGTTTATCATTATCTTTTCTTCTCACGTGTCATTTCACACCGTGGCAATATTAAATACTCAGAGCAAGTAAAGGAAAAGCATAACATGTGTAGGCATGACTCGCAAAATGTCCTAAAAAATGATGCGCTTCCAAAGAGATCACACTTCCAGAACTTTCTGACTTTCACCCCTGTGTGTTTTTGGCAACATTCTGTTCCAATTGACAACAAAAATGGTCTTCTTTAACAGCACATTCTAATTAACTTTACTTTAATATGTGTGTTGTTCGTTTATAAAGACGACGACGCGACTTGCATGCTTCTTACGTACATTCTTGACGTGACTTAAATAAACAACCTCTGTGACTTTTCTTTAACCTTCCTTTTTGCATCTAGTCTTGAAACCTCTGAGAGCCATTGAGCTGTACTGAGCGGGCAATTTGTTCTTGAATTGCAGCCATTTCTCAGTGACTGAACAAACGTGTGACAGGCAAGTTCACACTATTTTAGAACTATTTGTCACGAAAAAACAAGTGATAACAAATATCTAAGAGGGTGAACTGCTTATTTTGACTGCTTAGAGAGCGGAGGACCTCAGTCTAAACCTCTGTATTTGTGAGGTGTTGAGATACCAGCAGCCTCCTCTACCTCCATCCTTTCCTTTTTGTCCTCCACCGCTCCGTTTCCCTTCCTAATCTGCCCCTTCCTAACCTCCTCTCCTGATTTCTCACAGCTCCTCTCTTCCCTGTCCATTCGCTCCTTCCCTCTGTAGACAGACTGTGAAGGTGAAATCTAATCCATTTTTAATGGAGAGTAATTGTATGAAGATGTGCCGTGCTGGGACTGAGAAGGAAGAACAGAGCGAGGTGAAAAGATGAAGGGAAAGGAAAAGCATGTGTGTGTGTTTGGGAGGCAGAGAGTGTGTTAGGAGGTGAGAATAAGAGAGGCAAGATGAAGGGAATGGAGAGACTTGGTGGGTCATGTGACAGCAAGTGTGGGAGAGAGCAAAGCAAAGGAAAGGGAAAGAGAGTGGAAAGTGTTGAGGATGACAGGCACAGACAGAGACACATATTTTAGTGGCAAAGAAATGGGCTAAAACCATTTTCTAGTCTGTGTTCGCTAAACTGCCCACCAGGAATATCTTACTGTCCATAAAAAGCTTACATTTGGAATCAAACAGTCCACAATGAAGCAAGCGACAAAACAAACTTAGCTAACTCAGAGTGAAGCGGATTTTAGTTCCTATGTTAGATCAACGCAGGACACTACATTCAAAGCAGATTTTAATACCATGTCAGTGAGAATATTAACAACATCATCAGTGAGTGAGTGATCTGTAACTACGCTATGTTCATGTTTCTGACAACCCAAATTGGTGTTTTGAATGCCTAACTGTGACTTTAAAACCCCAAACATTGAGTGCCTGTAGTTACATTTCACTCCTTCATTTATTTCATCTTCATTAAACTCAAAAAGTCCCTCGAGTTCCAAAGTCATATCGACAACATGGCGCACCATAACCAAAGTTATATTGCGCAATTATAAAAGCATGTTAGAAGAGTCAGTACGAAAAGCAATTACGCTTTTCATTTATTTATTTTTTTACAAAGAGTAGTGCTGATACAAAGTGCTAGCAGCTCTGTACTACTCTACTTGTAATCTGATGCATGTGACTGTGCAGATAAAGGCTCTTTTCAAAATTCACAAAGAATGACTTATCTATTAGTGTGTGTTTTTTATTCCACTTTGGTCCTTATCTGAAGGATGTATAGCTCTACTTGTCTTTTTTAAAGCGTTCTTAGCTGTCAACAGAAGTCCATCTTGCATGTGGAGTCATGTTTAGCAGTAAAGCCAGATATCCTGCACATGCGATGTCATACAACGGTTTCTAAGTCAGCCCTGTAGCTGTCTAAGAAGAAGTGCAAACCTCTGGAGAGTTAACTCAATGAGAGATTCCCTCTCCGCGGATGGCTGTGTGCAATGGGAGCCCTAGGTGGTAAAAAAGCAATTACAAAAAGAGAAAGTTGTAACAGTAACACAGAGTCCAACAGTCAGATTGAGACATACTGCCACAATATAAGAATACATAGACATAGTCCAATAGCGGTAATCACATTACTCCAAATCCAACATTGTGTTTTAAGTCTAGAAAGCTACTGCATCACTTTAAACTGCAAACAGTGTATGATACAATCGGCCATTAAATAAGGAAACATTACATCTAGTGGAGTCTCATGAGAAATGCTCCCCACTTGTCACCACGTCTGCCTCGGTTATGTTTATTCTGCCTCTGCTGTCATAAATGATGGAGCGCTGCAGGTATAAGTCTTCTGGTTGCCTTGTCTCAAAGTCAATGGCTTTTGGAATGGCTTTTGGTTTGATGCCTGAAATAAGGTCTGTGGGTAACTCAAGCTAAAGGGATATAAATGTGCTTCATAAAACAGGTCAGTAAATATGTGTTTCCGGAAAGGTGGTTGCTAACAAGTGGAGATTATACAGGTTGTAATAGCTATTCAACGCCATGTAATTAAGACTGGGAAACACTCCACTAAGTGAGTTTAAAGGCACATTACCTTGGATTATGCGCAGTAGGAATTGTGAAATAAAGGAACCAGGATTTAGGGCTGCTCAATTATGGCAAAAATCATAATCTCGATTATTTGGGTCAATAATTGTAATTGCGATTATTAAATGTGATTATTCATTGACTTTGAAAACATCCATTTATTGGAGAATAAATATAACAGTATATTTGTGACAGTTGATTACCCTGAACTTTAAGTATAATTCAACTGAAAAACCCAAAAAAAAAAAATTATTTAAAAGAAAAAAAGTCATAGTAATAATAAAAAAATAATCGTTTTATTTTGATTACGTTGTTTTCGTAATCGTTGCAAGCCATA